AATAAATTATATATATTCGTTAAGGTTGTGTCCATTAGAACCGCGAGCGACGTGACCAAGTGAGCGATAAATAAACTGTGTAAACTATCCATCCAATGAGAAAGACAAAGATTATTACTAATCTTGATGAGTGGTATGTATGAATACGCGTGTGATTTTTACTGTTATCAAGAGATGAGGTCTCAGTATACTTAGTTTATGATACCGTGCGAGCATTCGCGTCGAAGGGCGCATCCCGCCAACAGCGGCAAGTAAGTTAGTAAGTTAATTGTAAGTTAATTGTAATCAACTGAGCAAAATGTAAGTTTGTAGAAATAACGAGCAATAAACTATTAACATACAATTGACTATCTCGTTTCATTTATTTGAAATATTTATTGAGAGTACAAATTAGTTCGTTTCTCTAAAGATAGCTCCAGCTATTGTGAATGGTTCATAGTGATGGTGAATGGTTCACAGCTGATTTTGGCGATTTCAGAGAGATTAAACATCTGCTAATAATATTCAGTTTATATCGCTTTGAGTTTCATACAAAAATCTTGATTTTTACTGTATTTGAAATATCGAATTTTGTGTTAATCAAGCAGCATTTGCGGGAGGTTTTGATTTTCTGTTTTAATTGGAAGAAAAGTGCGGCTGAAGCCATCAAATGCTTGTCTAAGTTTATGGTGACATTGCTTCAACTGATAAATTATGTAGGGAATTATGGTTATGGTTTCGACGTTTCAAGGATGGAGATTTCAGCATTGAAGACAAGCCTCGCTCTAGACAGCCAAAAAATTCGAAGACAAAGAATTAGAGGGATTATTCGAAGAAGATCAGAGTCAAACGCAAGAGGAGCTTGCAGAATTGGTAACTCAACAACCGTTTCTGTACGATTGAGAGCCATGGAAATGATTCAAAAACAAGGAAATTGGATGCCTTATGAATTGAAACCGAGAAACGTTGAAAGGCGATTTCACTTGCGAACAGTTGATTCAAAGACAACAGAGAAAAGATTTTTTGCATCAGATTGTGACTGGAGATGAAATATTTTACGACAACCCCAAGAAGAAAAAATATTACGCTAAGCCCGGTCAAACGTTGCCATCGACCTCAACATCAACACGACCGAACATTCATGGTTCGAAGATCATGCTCTGTATCTGGTGAGACCAAAAGAGTTTTGTTTACTATGAGCTGCTGAAACCTGCGATTCCATTACGGGCGATCGGTATCGGCTACAATTGATTCGTTTGAGCCATGCATTGTGAGAAAAACGGAATACGAGCAAAGACATGATAAAGTTATTCTTCTTCATGACAATGCTCGGCCTCATGTCGCTAAAGTAAAAAAATATTTAGAAAATGGGATGTTTTACCGCACCCGCCGTATTCTCCTTCATTCCGAACATTGCTCCTTCTGATTACTGGTTGTTCCGAAGGATGCAGCAAGTCACCAGTTCACTTCTTTCGCAAAAATCGAAAATTGGCTCGCT